CCCCCCCCCCCCCCCCCCCTTCCAATTCAACACAATTCACAAAGTGAGGGAACCAACTCATGGACTAAACGATCCGACCCAAACTCGTTTACTCCCCCATTGATACTACTACTGGTACATATTGTCCGCTTTGGTTAGTTGCTTATCGTTGTCAGTCCCATAATTTTAAAACGCATCACTAAGGAGAAGTTTCTACACTCAAATGCTTTGTTCTCCCCTCCGACCCATATAGGATCCAACAGTACGTGGAGTTTTGGACATTTGTGTGTTGGGTAGAGGATGATGGATCCAGGTGAAGCGACCCACAGACAAAAGGTGGGTGAGTAGGCAAACTATGTTTGCTGATGCTAAAAAAAATTAAATTTATTTTTATTTATTATTACATCTAAAAAGCTGGTCGTCCCTCAATAATATTTCAATTCATACATTTTTTTTAATTAATTAATTAATTAATTAATTTATTAAATTCACTGCATCTGGCGGACCAATTTCATATACATCCCCCACGGTCCACCTCATCAACTTTTTCTTCCTCCTCTCACTCTCGTTTTAGCCATGATTATAAATTTTGGAATTTTATGGGTTTTTATGGAATTATTACTCAATATTTAAATTAATATCAAATTTTAAAAAATATAGCCAAAAATATTTTGTTTTATCATAATGTTGTATTCCCAATGAATTAAAAAAAAATTAATTAATTCTTAATAAAGCAATAACTGAGTTGTAATATGGGTGGTGATGTATATGTTGGGATTGTTTTGATATATTTGCTTTCTGATTTGAAATACCAACACTAACCTCCTACTTCATTTATTATTGTTGAGACATAATAATTTTATCACTTTCAATAAATTTATTTATTTATTTATTTATATTATACTTTTTTTTTTCAAATATTAATTTTTTTTTTAATTTTAAAAGTCGATTGTTTAAGTTTATGTCTCGTTTTATTTTTGAATTTTTTTTTTCCTGCTAAATATTTTTTTATTAATATTTTCATATTTTAAATGAAGTTTTAGAAATTTAAGTAAGTTTCAATATTTTGATGGAAGAGATAAAAGAATCGCAAATTTAAAACCAATGTGGAGTGAAATGTCCAAAATAGCCCAAGTAAAGGTGGGTTGGCCTTGATAAGATAAAGACGTAGGGTAGGGAGAGAGATGGAAGTGAATATTATAGGAAATGGGCCTATTTCCCTCACAGGCTAAGGCCCACTCTTCCAGCATTGAAGTTTCATGGGCCTAATTGGGCTTCATTTCATCATATTTTCAAAATTAAATAATAAATAAATAATAATAAATTGCATTTTCAGGCATAAAAGTTTTTAATAATTAAGTTTTTTTTTTTATTGTAAAATTGTATTATCCATTATTAATTTACTATTTATCGGTGTAGAGATAGTAAAAGCCGACCATTTTTGGGCTCCAAAAGTATCTGTCTGCCTGAAACAACATATTTTCCACATGAAAAATTCAAAATTCAAATTCTATAATTTTGATATTTTCACACGTGGAAATTAAAGGACTGCTTACTGTTACTACTAATGGAAAATCGCCACGTGGAAGAGTGCCCGGTTTGACTGTTGTCCACCGCCGTACCCACGGTTCCCACATGCGCACCGTCCACGGTGCAAAATAATCCCATAATTATTAATAATTAGTTAAAAGTGCCCAATATTCTCTATATTTAAAGAGGCAATCCCTTCACTTCCTTTTATTCTCACGAACACGTCCGCTCTTCTACTCTCTCGGCATCCAAACACCAAAATCAGGGATCGAAATCGTCGTCGATGGCAGCTCTGCGAGCAGTTTCCAACTCTGTGAGATTAGCCTGTGCGAATCCGAGTAATTCCTCTATTAATCGGCCTGTTTCCGTCAAGCTTTCCGCTCCATTGTTCACTCAGAGCTCCAAGCTCTTTTCCGCTCCCAAGAATCTGAGTTTCTTCGCGCATGGAAGATCGGTCGCTTGCCGTAGCCAGGCTAGCGCCTCTGATTCTTCTCCTAATCCAAGTGAGTTTTTAGGTTTTTGCAATGAATTTACATTCGGTTTTGAGCATCTATGTGGATTTTGATCTTTCCTTTGGTTTCTGTAGGTAGAGTTCAGGAATTATACGTTTATGAAATCAACGAGAGGGATCGTCAAAGTCCTGCGTATCTTAGGTTAAGCCAGAAGAATACAAATGCGCTTGGCGATCTGGTTCCTTTCACTAACAAAGTAAGTGAACTTTCTTATCTGTCATTTTCTATGCTTTCAATTTGCATTCACGTTATCAATTTTAAGTCGTGTTGCTTCTGGAGAAACTACTGGATCTTATCTATAGAGAATTCAGTTTTCTGAGAGATTAAATTGACCAGAATGCTTAGATTCATAGTTTTTAATTCTTCTCGGGAAGATTTTTTTTTCTCTACTTGGCGCCATTGAAAATCAAAGGATTTCTGTCTCTTTGGCGCCCTTTGCCTCTTTTGGTGTTTGTCCTAACTTCAGTCCATTTTGAGTCTAAGCACTTTACTTTTTGGTCTCTCCAAAAGTCTTCGTATCAACAGAGATAATGTTTCGTAACTATAATTCTAAGATATTTTTCATATAGTCTGGGGAATGTGGGACTCCTCCCTCAAAAATCTTCTTCTCGAATAAAGTATATCACAAAGCTTCTCTTGGAGTCTATAGAACCCTTGAACAACCTCCTCTCAATTGAGACTCTATTTTTTCTCTAGAACTTTCAGTAAACAATTTGTTCCACACTTCAACTACTCTTGAATAAATCAGAAGCTTATGGAACTCTCAAACAACCTTCTCTCAATTGAGGCTGGGCTAATTCTTTAGAACCTTCCAACAAAAAGTACACAATTTATTTGATACTTGAGTCATTTTTGGCTAAAATTTCAAGACTCATAACTTCATTGTTGGATACTTGAGGATTCTATATACATGGTTTAGTTAAGGCATGACTTTGATACCATGTTAGAAATCATAAATATCCACAATGATATGATATTGCTTACTTTAAGCATAAATTCTTATAACTTTACTTTTGATTTACTCAAAAAATTTCATACGAATGGAGATGATATTTTTTACTTATAGATTCATAAATTTTCCCTTCTGGTCAATAATAGATACGAGACTCTTCTAAAGAATATGTTCATCATTCTTAGGACCTGATTAGTTGGAGGTTTTTCTTGGATGAATAAGCATAAACAAGCAAAAGTCATCATTCATCATCTCTTCCTGTTTCGAAGGTTTTAACTATTCTAAAAAAAAAGTAATATAATTAATTATTTAATTTTATAAATCAATAAGAAGCACGTTCATAATGATTAATGAATAGTGTATTAATTAATTATTGTTCAAAATATAAAAAATCATTACAGCTATACACTGGAGACCTGCAAAAACGGGTAGGAATTACAGCGGGGCTATGCATATTGGTGCAAAACAAACCTGAAAAGAAAGGTGACCATTACGAGGCCATCTACAGCTTTTACTTTGGGGACTACGGTCACATAGCGGTGCAGGGGCCATACCTCACCTATGAGGACACGTATCTGGCTGTGACTGGCGGGTCAGGAATCTTCGAAGGTGTGACGGGTCAGGTTAAGCTGCAGCAGATAATTTTCCCCTTCAAGCTTTTCTATACCTTCTACTTGAAGGGCATTAGGGAGTTGCCCGCAGAACTTTCTGTGAAGCCCACCGAGCCCGGCCCAGCTGCTGAGCCCAGCCCAAATGCCAAGGCCTGTCACCCACAAGCCACCATTCCTGGTTTCACTAACTAGGGTAGGGTTAGTGAGTGGAGCACTAATTGATTAATGGTGGGAGATTTGATGAAACAGAAAATCGAAAGCGATAATAATGTTAAAAGAGAATGGGCAAACATAGTGAAAGGGACGAAAGGAAAATGTCAACATAGTGGATGGGAATCACAAATAGATTGATGCAATCAAAGATATTATGCCCGCCATTTCTTCAACGTTGTAGAATAACTGTTGTCTTCAACTTACTCTTTTGTTATTATCATTATTGTTGTTATTTTTATTTTATTTTTTAATATTAATGCCCGAACATGCTTACCCCGCCATTGCTGAAACCATTTATGATGGCCCATTCTTTTTATATATTTCTTCGACTTCTGTTAAAACTCATTTTACTTCGTTTTAATAGATATTTGGGTGGTACGATATCTCTATTTGAGTATGAAATTTACTTTGTTGTCTAAATAAAATTTCAGTGGAAGAACAATCGATCATACTTGACACTGAATCACTTTATTACCCTAATTTTTTTTCTCTCAAGATTTGCTTCTAATTTCGGCTTTTAAGATTCTATTGAATAATCATTTTTGTTCTACTTAACAACCATTTATACTCTATTGGATAATTATTTTATTTTTAAAATTATATTATATTATATTTTTTAAAAATAATTTTCATTTTAAAAAAAAAAATTTGAGTTCTTGGCTAATTTTTTTTTTTTTTTAAGAATATGTCATCCTAATAAATTATTTTTCAAATAAGAATAAATAACAAAATAGTGTTCTATGTTTTACTTTTAGTTTCTCCAAAAACTTCATTCCAATAAAAATAGTATTTCTTAATTAGCTAAGGGGCTACTAATAAGTAAAACATTCACGGGTGTAACTATAATTTAACTAAAACTAAAGATATATACATTATAAATTTTTATGTGGAGGAACCTCTTATCCTTTCTCTATCTCCGTCCCCACTCCTATCTTGTTTTATAGACACTTCTACACTAAACTAGGAAAAGGAAACTTCAAAAAAATCAAATGTGTAATCATATGAACAACAAAATTTGGAAGCTCAGATCATGACATGACATCAAAAATTTTGAAGTGGGAAGTTGAAATTGCATGGCGGGGAAACACCATAAACAAAATGACATTTCATGGGAAACATTTTGAGCTATACAACAACTTAGTATGAGGCCCATTATTTGAAACACAATCCTAACAATATACACCAATAATTGAGACTCAAAATTTTTATGAAATGGACTTGTGGGAGCTACTTGTTCTACTTGGGAAAAAGGAACTCAGCCTTTTCAGATATGGGATAATAAAGGCCAAAATTAGAGAGATAAATTTGACATTATACAAAACAATCATTAACTAGTGATAATTTGTTTTGACAGCATCATGGAGAATATTTGGGCTTATAAACTACTGAGAAGAGACTGATATTTGGAAGCTTGAAGGGGTTTAAAAGGCTTGAATTCAACTAGTTGCTCACAGGTTCAGAGTCTTGGAATGGAGCAGTTTCATTACAGCTCGCAAAGAAGGGAAGAACCAGAGGACTTCAATTTGAGAGAGTGGCCAGTTAAGGGAAGGTTCAAATGTGAGAACACAAGTTCCAGACGTTTTTCAGGGTCTTATTTAAGAAGCTTAAGGGAAGATGGCAGATCCTTCAGATCAAACATAACCATCTCCAGCACTGCTTCTTCCCCAGGCTATTACTCCATGAGAGGTACTTTAATTACTTCTCCGTTCTCTGGTTCAAGTCAGTTTTTCCTGTCATGGGTTTCTCTCATCTTTTTTCTTTTGCAGATGAAATTGACCCATCAACCTACTCATTCACTGCTGCTATCAAAGGTAACACATTCTTGTAAGCACATCAGAAATCAATCGTTTTTTGGCTGTAAAATGTCAAAAATGGAGTTTTTGTGCAGCATTGCAAGCTAAGTCAAGATATAACATGTGGGAAAGCTTGTCGCCTGATCAGTTTTCTTTGAACTCAAAGTGGTATGAAGCAGAGAAATATATCTGCAATCCTCTTTCAGGCGAGGTTCCAATGGAGTGTTTATCTGCTAAAACACTAAGTGCAAGGTCATTCAGAAATTTCAGTAGCAGAATCACCATGTCTGCTCCTTTAGTTTATTCCACCAAGTCAAGACAACACCATGAAAGGCCGATTACTTTTCCCCAAGAGGAAGCAGTTAATCGATATCCAATTCCAGGTACCACCACAAATTTTATAGCATGCTTTGAAAGATTTATTTGAAGTTGGATTCTCAATATGAACAAGTTTCCATGTTTGAGTTGTAGAAAAGAAAGTGGAAGGGATGACAAAGGATGTTGGAACTCAAAGCACACCACCTGAAAGAAGTTCAACATGTCCTAGCCCTGCTTCCACGCCTCCCATGGTGACATCCTTAAAGGCATGTGGGAAAGAAGAAACTAATTCACCAAATTCTTGTTCTACTCAAACAAAGAAATCAGAGGAAGGGGTATGTACATTCTTTGATCTTTGAAATGATAATCATGATTTAGTAAAAGGAAGATCAAAGGGGTTTGAAATCACAAGCTTAATACAACCCAACTAATCAAGAAATCTAGGGAGAAGTTAGAGTTATCTTGAGCCTCAACAAAAAGGTTAGAAGTATGAATCACCATTCCTACGTATTATTAAGCTAAAAAAAAAATCAATCTAGGAGTAAATTTCAGGCTGATTAACCCATAACCCAAAACATAAAGAGTGGTAATAGTGCATTTCTACAAATGGGGTCGTCAAGATTAGGCTCGACTGATTCAGAATGAAGTTCTAACAAGATGGGGAAAGTGTAAGAGTAAAATTGACACCATTTTCTGATTCTTCACATAGGCTTATAGTTCACAGTCCTATGATTTTCTCCTATCGTTGTCTGTTTCCCAACAACTCATACAGTTGTGGTTGTCTCTGTTTGTGGGAAGCATTTTCCGGACAGCAAAAAAGAATCAATCAGAAGGGAAAAGGGAAAAAGAGAAGAAAACTTGGAGGATTCTAACCAAGAATATATCAGAACATGAACAAAGCCAATTTCACGAAACGTATTTCCAAACCCCAACCACCATAAACTCTGTACCATGCATTTAACAATCCCACTTCCCCAACCATCTCCCCACCATATACTAGCTTTATTGTGGAGCCCATCGAGATTCTTTCCAGGAAAATACAAAATGGGTTCTCACAGTTCCTGCTACTTTATGTAGAAATCTCTGCTTTATTTCTCTCTTTCTGGAAAAAAATGGTTATGCATTTGTAGGGCATGGTCGAATGGCCAAAATAATGCAAAAAAAAAAAAAAAAAGTATCCGAGTCATTGCATCTGTCATTCATAAGACATCCACATGCTTGTACCTCAATATCAGTAAGAATAATTTCAAAATCAGTCCACAGGTGGGCTGGGATTCAAGGGAAAAACTAAAAGTGAAAAGAAACAAGAAAGTAAAACGAAAAAACAGTTCTCAAAGGTTATCGTCCAGCATAAGAAGTGAACCTTCTGGATCTTGTCTTACTGGTATGATTGAACTGTGGTTCATCATTTCACCAGTGTGGCTGGCTTTACCATTGTTTGGCAGGATTATGGCCTCATTATGGTGAGTAACTCTGGCTGTGTGCCTTTCTTTTTCCTTCCCAATAACAACAGATTTATACCTTTCAGTTGGGGAGGAAAGGCAACAACTCTAAATTAATGAAACCTTTACTTTCTCAATCAAATGTATTAGAGGCCCAAAACATCATTTAGTTGTACGGTCCTTCACGAGGCTAAATTTCTCATTTTAGGCATGAAATTTCATTCCAACACAGAGATATTGTACAACAAAGTTTGAGCATTTTCTACAGATTTCCAGGAGGGTCATGTTCACATAAGAATGCCTAAATTAGCAAATATTGAGTGCAGGTGACAATCAAAGCAAGCAAAGAAAAGGAGATGACAAAAGGAGAAAAGGGAGATAGAAACAGTGCAAAGGAGCAAAGGTGGAGGCAAGGTGGGTGCCTGTCATGGATGAGAACAAGACAGACAGATAAACACAAAACAAGAACGAAGAATTTCTTACCTCATTTGAATTTAAAAGGGTGCTGAAAAGTTCCTGAGCAAAATGGCAAAGGGAGATTCTATCTATATTCAGGCATATTTTCGCGGGTGTTAGTGAGGTTTGTGTTCACGTTAAGAAATTAAGGACACTCATGGAGAGAGACCTCAGGCCTGCGTAACAAAGGTTAAGGCTCTTAGTTTCGTGGTTCTCTCTGCTTTAATTTATTGTTTATTGGAATGGTGAAAGTTGGGAGCAGCTTTATCTTTCTCACTTCACGTGCATGCCTTTTGTCTTTACCTTTAGACAAACAAACCTTTCAATAACTAGGATTACTGATCCAAGTCTAATATATTAGATAAATCATACAATGGATCCCTAAAAAGTGTGAAGGAAAAAGGAAGATTGGTCTTGTTGCAACACAAGTGCTTCATGAGCTAATAAAACAGCCCCAATCCAGGTGACCCACTAATATCAAAACAGTAAAAAATTCAAAACGTACATATCACATTAGTTAGAATATTCAAACAAGATGGTGAAGAACTTCTAAAATCTTTTAAATATTTTCTGAAGGAATAACCAAGTCTAAAAAAAATGTGAATAAATAACGAAAAGTATACTTGAATGACAAACTAATCGTATATGAAATAGCAATTTCAACCATTCATATATATGAATATTTGAAAAAAGGAATGTGCAAAACCTTTTTATGCACGGCACGACGACAAAAATCTTCTCAATGGCAGGTATCTTCCAACTTGTGTTTAAGGAACCATCCCATCTTTGAATACGTATGTTTTTGCACTTTACCCGAGTTCAATAGCTCGCCCTAGTTAACATACAGAGATGCTCCCTCTAAAAGAACAATTTTTTTTAAGAATTTTCAGATACTAGTATTTTTCTGGTCCATCTAACTCAACTGAACAATAGACTTAAATCTACTTGATTCTCAACCATAGAAGTGATTTGAAGGAGATGCCATCTCTTCCATTAGGAAAACTCGATCCTCAGTTAAGATAGTTCTCCTCGACGAGCTAGTCAAAATTCCCTTTTTACAGCGAGGAAAATTGAGAAGCAGGGAGATGGGAGAGGAGACAATAGGACATCTGCAATGGAAGTTTCACGTGGACTTGACCCTCGAGAGAGTATATAAAATGGAGTATAAAAACACATGTTTCACGTACCCCTCTTTTGGTGCCCGGTAAATTTTAATGAAAACCTGACTTTTACTCAAATCTAGCAACTTAAGCTTCAATATTAGTCGTAGCGTTTAATACTAAGCCCAAGTTCAGCTGTAAGGAACGCTTGTAAGACTTCATTTGGGATCAATTAACACCACTCAACAGAACATTGCCTTTTGGTCTCGCTATCATTAATGTAATGAAATGATTGATGACCAATCTTAGAAATAAGATAAATAATGATGAATCACTGATTGGCAAAAATCTTCAATGGAATATTTTGAATGAGACTTCAAAGTGTCCTATGTGGCAATGACAACAGTTTAATGGTAATAAATGTAATTGTCTCACAATAAGAAAGCTATGTATCAATGTACAAGTATAACACTCTTGTTAGTCTAAACATAGTTTAACCGGTATAGCATACATCCTTGTCTAAGAGTCAAATGTTCAAATCCTCACTCTCATTTAACTCGAAAAAAATATAAGGCTATTCTACTTCACTAAGTTGAGGTAAAGCTATAATCAATATTGGCATTGGCATACGCAAGCCAATAATGCACCATGTTTATGGGCATGTGTACCGCATTGGGTGCCTTCTAGACTGTAGCTTGTAGTTTGCTAGGATACATTTCTTATTTCTGTGACTATACTAAGGGTAATTTCATTAATCCAATAACTAAGTGTGCAACATGTGAAGTAGTTCCGGAATAGGTATAGGTAAGCTAGAATGTCCTATATTAAGAACGAACTGTTCTTACATCATCTTCTTCATGGTCTTTTGGAGATGCCATTCTAAATTCAGGAAGGAAACCATCTTGGATGTCAGATTTTTCTCTTTCTAAATATTTTTTTTCTGTATTTTTCACTGTTTAAAAACATTAGAGATCGGATGATTTTGAGTGCAGTGTTTCCAAAGAAATATATACTTACCAGAACTTCACTAGTGGACAGCAGTTTGTAAATGAAACAATTATATGTAGCAGAATTCGATTAAAACCGTATATTTTATGATGGTGAAGCACCAGGAATAGTGTTAGAAATAAGCCGGACTTCATACAGATCATTGTCTCCCTTCCCTGCAAAAGTTTTAAAGCAATGTTCACGTAAAAAAATTCAGTTAACGATGGTAAAATGACAAACAAAAAAAAGGATAAAATAAGCGTAGTATAAAGCTCACCAACTTCGGCAGCGATCCCTGGTCCAAAGAAAGAAGCAAATTTTGCCTGTAAATTCATTAAAGAAACTAATTTAGTGGTGGTGATCTTTTAACAATGTCTTCACAAATAGGTTCGCTGTAAGGAACGCTTGTAAATCTTCCGAGTATTATTCTTCCCTTAGAATTAGCAGAAACATTTATCATCATGACTACATCAGCACTAGCAAAATATCGAGCAATTAAATATAATCCCCTAGAGAGTTAGCACTCTTTCTTCAACGATACAAGAAGAATCATGCCTCAATTACCTGTCTTTTCTCAAAATCTGACAATGTCAAGGCTTTGGCTTCAAACACCAAGACCAGGCAATATTTTCCGTCTTCTGTAACCTAGAATTGTAGCAAATGGCAGAATATTAGAATCGTAAGTGCTGATAACATGCTATTGTATTCAGTAGTACTTCTAGTTGGTACAATCAGAAGCGTCCTAAGTACTGAGGTGACCAGTGATATATGAAATAAATACAAAGTCAAGTCACATAAACATACTTCTTCACGAATACTTTGCAAAATAGGTGCACTCCTTCGAGGAATTCCCCCAGCCTGTGTATACAGAAGTAGAATGCAATGAAGATCGGTTAGCAAAAATCAGTGTAAAAGCAAAAAAATGAGAATTCAAATACACAATGGATGCAATTTCCCATTAAGGTCAAAATGTGTACTCCTGGTCCTATGTATTTGATTATTTGCTGGATCCAAAATTCAAATAGGACAAGCATGAACCAGAGTTCGAACAGCTTCAGTCTAAAAAATGAAGCCAAGTGAAAGTGAATTGAATTCTAGTTTTATAACAATGCAACAGCCAAGTGAAAGTGAAGCCAGCTTTCTATACTGATAAAGCAGGAGTCTTTTGAATTGATATATTGCTAATGATGTAAGAAGAATCCACAACATTACAACCACGTAAAAATGTAATCAAAGATCACATAAAAGAAGATTCAAATGGCGCCAGTTTACTTACCAGACCAAACTGGAAAATCCGTTTCAATGCCTCATCCAAATGTTGTTCATCCCCATAGCGGTACCTTATCACATCATCTCTTACCTAGTGAAAAACTTTAAAAAGTGATTAGAAATATGAAACAGTTCATACAATAGAAATTGTGTATATACAAAATGATTACACATTTGAGACAATGTCAGTTGAACTCGCAAGTGACATACTATTGAAGTAACAGTCAAATTGAACCAAAAGGCGAGCTTCTTGTTCTTAGTGAATTAAATGATAACTTTTCAATTGTAAGTTGGAACAATAATATTCACACAAAACGAAAAATTCATTCTTCTCCAAGTTGTCGAACAACCTCCCCTTAATCGAGGCTCGACTCCTTCTCTGGAGTCAGTTTTGACTACACCTTCGAGGTTCACAACTTTTTTGTTCGACATTTGAGGATTCTATTAACATGGCTAAGTTATGGGCATGGCTCTAATACCATGATAGGAATCACGACTCTCCACAATAGTATGATATTGTCCACTTTGAGCATAAGCTCTCATGGTTTTGCTTTGGGCTCACCAAAAGGCCTCATACCAATAGAGATGTATTCCTTATAAACCCATGATCATTCTTTAAGTTAGCCAATGAGGGACTCCCTCCCAATAATCCTCAAAAAGTATAGATTTCCTCAAGTTTGGGCCCCACTTTCTTTCTCCAGAAGATTCTAATTACACTTTTGTTCCTCCTCCTCCTTCTCTAAATATAATGTACAAGAACGGGGTCTATCAAAACAGTCACTCACAAGAAAACATATTTACAACATATTTTGCTAGCATGGCATTAGAAAGAATCAAATTTCAACCTGTTTGAGAATAGGGGTGGCGCATGATTCCCTCAGCTTTTGAGCTTCTAAATATGTCAAGCATGGCACTGGTTTGAGTTCAGCATACTGCAAAACAGTCAAAAGCTAGAATGAGTTACCAGATTTTCTCTACCAATTATTTTCCTTTTCAGCTCAAGTACATGAAGCTAAAGGAATTAGGAAGAAAGAAGCAACCCTGCAAGGCCATTTCAGAAAGGAAATAACAAATGAAACATAGAAAGTGGTAACATGACACTACTTTTTGTAAAAAAACACCTGATAGAAACGGCTTGATAAATTTTTTAATTTGGAACAGCTACTGAGTTAAACTTATATAGGGTCTAGAAAGGCTGAAATGACCTGAAGATGGATGTGGCTACTGAAGTAACAGCCATTGAAAGCTTATATTTATCACGTTAATCCCTTTGTACACTGCAGAAGGGGAAAAAATAGAAAGTTATATACCTTCAGAGCCATGCCAATAATTGCAAGAGGGAAGCCATATGTTAGCATAATGGCAGACCACTCGGATCCTGGGAGGATATTGAAGTATGCACCGAATCCATACCTATAGAATGAAAACAGATCAAATGTACAAGTTAAAATTTTGAAAAATACTTGGTTGTATACCGGTGGATAGGTATCTTTCTACACACTACCATTAAATTTCTGACAACTATGAGAAAGAAAATGAGGAATTTTCTTTTAAAAATTATGTGGAGTGCACAACATCAAAAAACCTATTTGTAAACCAAAAGACGTAGTGTGAACAACGGGAATATGATTGACATAATTTCTTCCAGAAAATGAGAAATTGGAACATTTTAATAGTAGTGTAGGAAGATACCTACTCACCAGTATGCGGTCAAGAATTATTTTATAAATTTAGGAATTTTGAGTCTCGAGGAGGAAACAACTTACGACAACAAAGAAATTCCAACACCTAAGCCAATAACACCAAATGAAACCTGTGGGGAAAAAAAAGTAAAACACCACAATTACAGATCAAACAGGCTTTAAGAAAATACAGCATTATCTTTTAAATCTAAGAGGAACATATTAAATGATTAATTTGTCCTAGTTTAATAGCTTAGAACATTAAACATAGAAGTAATTTAACATAGCATGATATATTAGATCCAAATCTCTACAACATATATATTTCATCGACTAAAATTGGAGAGAACTTTCTTTCCTTTCCTTTTCCCTCCCTCTAGCGCATAGATAATTCTCGAGAATAACCAAGAGCTCCACATACTAAAAAAAAGCTTAAAGCAGAGAAAATTACGACGATAAAACTTGTCTCTTGTACAATTTAAACACTACTTTTCTCTCAAACATCTCCTCTCGTTTCTTCACAACCATTATCAGCGCATTAAACAGAATTGAGAAATTCCAAACCAAGTGCTACCAGAGATATCCGATACAATTACTCTCAAGATTCAAGAATTCATAGCCATAGAGAATCAGAAAAATACTTTCGCAAGCGAGAATTCATCATCGGTAACTACTGCTTTATCCGGCGAGGCTGAAACGGAAGACGGCTGAGTAGTATCAGCAGCTCTAGCCGAGAATGTGAAAGCTAAACGTTGAGGCTTCTGCAGAGGAGCTCTCGGTTCGAAATGGACGAAAAAGTTGGCTCTACCGTTCCGGTTGCCGCCGCCTGGCAGAGAGGTTGCGCAGTAGGGACGAGAGAAACGCAGAGAAACAAGGGAGAGGCGATTGGGGAGAGTGAATTTGTCATGAGAACAGAGAGCAGCAGGAGGCGATATTCCACTCATCGAAATCGACTCTCTTTCTACCTGTCTCTGAAACTCTGAAGAACGGAGAAGAAAATGAAGGTCCGGTGGTTGACGAGAATGGAATCCGTTTCTAAACCCGCCAATTTTCACTACGTGTCCTCTTATTATCCATCACTTCTTTTCTTTTCTTTTTTTTTTTTTAGTGTGGTGTGGCTTTTATTTTATTTTATTTTTTTCTTTTCGACTTTCGTTTTATTTTATTACTAGAATTTTTTTTTTCATTTTTCTATTTGGGAAAAACTATCTTCGTAAATCAAATTCTTTTAACTCTTTTAACATGTTTTTGTTCTCACTCACATGCATTCTATAAAAATTATAAAAGTCAGTTCAATATAAAATTGTTCTAAACAAAGCACAATTAACCGAACATTTATCCTTCGAGATCAATTCTTATAAGTATTTTTTAACTATCTTATCTCTGGATCATTTTTACTCTGACACCCATTCTCAATTTCATAACTAAATGGTAAATGTATAAATTTTTTGATTTATCCTAAAAAGTAAATTTGAAAATGTTAGATTAAAAACTAAAATTAAAATTACCGAAACCGATAAGCACATACATATCTGATTATTTTGGCCAAAAAAATGAAAACTTTTTTTCGAAGTCACTGTGTTTTATATAAATACCAAAACGATACCAATTCGCAGTTCGCAGAGGCACAGCTTTCCGTTCTCGACTTGCTGAATAAGTTTTCTCTGAACTTGCTCCTTGAAGAAGAAAAATGGAATCTTCGAAGACGATAGCCCATGAAATCGGAGGAATCCAGAACGATGCGCTTCGATTTGGGCTCCAAGGCGTTAAGAGCGACCTCGTCGGATCTCATCCTGTCGAATCCCTCTACGAAACTGTAATTTCCTTTCCCTCTCTTTCTATCGCTGTTTTATACAATGTGGAAAAGCGGACTGGAAGTTTCAATCTAAGTTCCCCTATTTGATTTCTGTGTGGATTTTGCTGTTTATTTGTTGCAGTTACGACTAGATTGTTATTAGAAATAGAATCTAGATTCGTCGGAGCTGATGAACCACCGTTTGCCCATGTTTCTCGGATTAGGAACTTGTAACTTGAAGTTTTATTTCCTGTTATTATGGTCAATACTCTCTTGTTATCCCCATATTTCAATATTTTGGGTGTCCCATCTTACAAATGGACAGTGGCGCAAGTAGGTTCTGCCCTCAATTAGATTTCTATGGAGAGGACTAAGATCAGCCATATTCTTTGGAACTTGTAATTAGTGACCATCCAGCATTCAGGAGGGGGGATACTTGGGAAAAGCACTGAAAAGCCTCTTCTGTCTTGATTATAGGGTTGGGGTGGGATGGTTGTCCCTTTTCTTTTTCTTTCTTCATTTGCTAATAGAATTGTTTATATCCAAGATAAATTTCTTATGGCAGCACCTGAGGGGCATTAGTTTGCATTCAAAACATTTATGAGATAAACACCATAAATCTTTCAAACAATTTTGGACATTTAAGTTGGTTTAGTCATAATGAACGGTATCCACCAAGAAAGGTGTATCAACCACAGGTTTTTTCTAATTGGTTGAATCAATTTATTTTAAGTTGATACATGTATATCCTTGTTTTCATGCTTCAGACGAGGAGAACAGAAGAGGAGATGAAAAGGAAAATTCTTGTGAATACGTATGGATCTGCTTTTCCACTGAAGATGGATTTGGACAGGCAAATTCTTTCTCGGTATGGTTTTTCTCCTTGCATTGATGCTGGATCTCTTTTGGTGTGTTCTAAATTCGAATATTAGTGAAAAGGCCAAAATCTGCTGTTTTGGATATGCATTTTATTTTATTTTCAACTTTAATCACATTGCTAATCGTCGTTTTATAATGATTTGGTGGGGAGCAAAAAGGTCATAGTTCACTCCACTGACTCTTCTACCTCATGTGATTTGCTCCCTTCGTACACATGTTAAATTTAGTTCTCTGGAAGTGTGGTGGGAGCACCTTTCCCCCTCATCCCTTGATATGCTAATGACATTAAAATAGGATCTCTTGTGGAATTAATGTTTGATGTGTATGAATTTAAATGGGGAGACTTCAATCTGGCATCTACTTTTCTATTCTTTTATTTTCACCAACATTTCAACTTGTGATGCCAGTTAAGTTGATTCAAGCTGTTTGTCTAGTTGAAATCTGAAAATCATTGCTAATATAATTTATATTCTAATTCAACGCTATTGCAGATTTCAAAGGCCTCCAGGACCTATTCCATCTTCAATGCTGGGTTTGGAGGCTCTTACTGGAAGCTTGGATGACTTTGGCTTTGAAGATTATCTAAATGGTAAAATGAGAACTTATCAAGTCACCTAGATCCTTATAGCTCATCTGATTCTGTTGTTCACTACATTCTTTTGCATCATTCATGAGAGTTTTCAATTACCTTAAATAGTTCTTTTAATCTTAACAACTTTCTTTATGACTATCTGACATTGGTGGGATGATTAAATCCATTAAGTATGGTCGGGTTTAGCACAATTAGAAAAATAGTATTCAGGGACCTTCACTTGATCTTATTCCTCACTTTTAACCATCCTTCTTGCGACTACTAGCATGTCCGTTTGATGAAGTTCGCAAGTGTTTCCGCTGCTTCCAATAACCAATATCACATAGAATATTCCATCCACTAGTCTTTATGCAAGATTGCAGCCACTCATTTCCACAAAGGATGTTTTCTTTCACCCATTTTTTTTTTTTTTTTTTTTTACT